CTTTTGGCACTTCCTCTTTGAGCGCGCTACTGTAATCTGCGTGCCAGTGTCCCAGCGATGAGAAGCGAAGCAAGGGTTATGACCTCGAAAAGGATCATCGCGTACAAAGACAACCCTGCCCACACGTGGAATTTCTACTGTGCTGTGGAGCTACGCCTGACTACTGGAAGAGTGCCCGCAAGCCGCTCGCCGATGTACCAGCGGATTGAAGCCGACCATCAGGCCAACTGTGCGCTGCACGAACTTTGCGCTGCTGCAAAGGAGAGTTCCATGAGCACCGTCGCACTAGCTGTCGTGTTGACAGGTACTGGCTGGGGCACCCGGATCCATTAGCCGGTGGAGTCTTCTACAAAGGGGAATCCAGCTTGCGAGCATCGCATTTCATAGCGTTTCACCGAAGCTTTATTCGGTCCTTACAGTGTAACGTTGGAACTACGTTTGAATCCCCAAGCAGGCAACACGTTGCTCTGCGTTATTGCGAGGTCACTCTCACGCAAACCTGCTTCATCTCGGACCTGACCTCGAGCTCCCCGGACGCCAACTGGAAAACGATCAGCAAGGATGACTTCACACCCGCGCAGCCCATCACGCAGTCCCTGATGATCTCCTTCGCGCTGGCGCCCAAATCGCTACGATTTGGGCTACACAGTCCGAGGCCGCCATCTCTCCCCGATCGTGTTCCTTGAGCAATTCGCGTGCCAGCCCCACGACTTTTGTCGCGACTCAATGAGTCGTCGCACCAAAGAAATTTCCGCCGTCGATCCGGAATTATGTACCCTTTCGCATCTCGTTCCGCTCCTCCGGTGCTGTTGTGCGTACTTCTTGAAGCTCGCTACGACAGGCCTTGTGCGTCATCTTGCTGTCCTTGAATATGCTAGCATCCGAGGCTGACTGCAGGCTCGCCGAACACCAGTTCTTTTGCTCTGCGCCCACGTTTCCGCGTGTGCAGTCAGCACTAAATAGGTAGGCTCAAGGCATGCTGTACAAAGGAGAAACCTTCCGCAGGTTTGTGTCGACTGCTGTTTGGAAAAACAGAGTTCCGCTAAAAGAGTACTGTGACATCAGCTCTTCTCAGACAAACGATTCCGCTCCACCTGCACGATGCAAGCATACACTTCCGGAAGACTGCAGCCACTATCGATACGCTTTCTTATTCCTCCGACACCCAAAAATAATGCGCCGTCGACAGCCCTTAACGCCAGGATAATGCGCCGCCTGCAGCCTTCAAGTAACGCCAAACTCTAGTTTCAGATCTCACTCCCTTTGGCACTCGGATGGAAGTGGCGCTCCAATCGTTCCGCGGCTGCATGCGATACTGCAGCTCGTAGCTTAATCCTCAGTCACGGCGTCGGCAACTTTCCTTGTTGCCCCGCCTTGTCAGCCATGAAAGTACTGGTTGCAGCTTGTAGATTTACGGCAGAGCTACTGCATTCGTACGCCTCCCATGTGTGCAGTAGTGTACCAAGACGTCGGTTCTCGACTCGAACATGGGGATAAACCAAATACGGCCTTTTCCTTGCGTTACCAATACTTAGTATTTCTCACACCACCACCTAGCCAGGCCAGATTACTGGTCAGATTGTAGTCTTGTGATGACATGGAGTGGTCACCATGACTGCACGTAGCTTTTCGGGCATGTTGCGATGACACCAGCACACTCACGCCAGCTGTTGCGCTGATAAGAAACATTCCTTGGAGTTCCGACTGGCCACCCATACAAAGTATACGACTAGGCAGACGGGCCGTCTCTCGTACGCAACATCCGTTTCTCGGACTAGCAGTGCAGTCAGCACACAAACCCCGGTACATACAACATGGTCAAATGTGTTTTCCTGCGACGGGCTGCTACACAATCGCGCTGAGTAACGTACCTCTCGTTTTTCGGATAACAGCCAGACCTTGCGTTTGTGCGACCAGCATCCCGATAACCAGGATCGCAAATAGATATTGCCGGCGAAGTGACCTGATCTGACCACTATCCTCTGTGTACTTTAGGCAACGAGTGTCACTTAGCCTCGTGTTGTTTGTAAGTGTGAAAGCATTATCCGTGATTTTGTGCGTCATGAGGTATGCAATGATCGTTCACTTCGAGGATGTAAAGGGGATTTTATTGTGAGTCGCGCAGCTGATGAGAAGACCCTAATAGACGTTTTATCGAAGTCTTTGACGGTGTGTTCGGTTGTTCCCTCATTTGACGCATCGCGATTTTCGGGAGTTTTCGTACGTCTGTATTTTTCTGTTTCTCCTCTTGACTTGCTCAGGTCTGCTCTCTTATCTTTCATATACTATGCGTTCATTCATATGTCTCGGTGCAATGAGTATGCCGCGGGACGCTTTCGAGTCGGTAGGAAAGCATAATTGAAGTAATGGGGAGAGCAAGAGGTACGGAGAACGAGGCTAATTCGTTCTTGCTCGTTCGATGAAAGCCTCTCAATGCTTGGTATGGAGCATTGTTGGGGGTTTTCCTTTCGATTGTTGAGGCACTTCCATTGGCTCAGGTTTCGCTTTCCTTCTCCTCCAACACAAAGCTGAATTCGGCGACAAGCACATCTCCAAGATTACCATTTGCCACGATTACAAAGAGAGCCGTATGCTTCAGACGGACATAACATCAGTCTTAGGTATCGAAAATGTTGCGGATCACGATTCGCTGCCTGAGGACTACGAGATGGTGGACGCCGACAATGATGTGGAGATAGGCAGGGGGACGAGTAAGGTAGGGCGAGTTAAGAGGAGCCATAGCATGGTGAATGATAGAGTGGATTTAAGTTATAATGTAAGGAGGTTGCAGATGGTGAGTGTTGTTAGAAGGGGTCCGACGATGGTGGTAAGCCGTGGGCTTGAGCGAGTTAGAATACGTTGGTACAATGTTTCCGTCTCGCGGCTCATCCACATTATTCCTTAATATCATGAAGCACGAGTTCTGGAGGCATGGTAAGTTATCACAGTAAGTAGCGATTCACAAACGGTGGTAAGCGTATATTTTGTACCATTCTTCGCCAGAATCTGACAAGGTGTTGTAGCCAAGGGGCATAGGCCGGATCTATTCCCTTACACCGTCACTAAACTGAATCACTTTCTCTACAATTTAGGTGAATATACGTTTGCCACTTCATTCGGTCGTTTTATCATCTATCGCCGACCCACTTATTCAGGTATTTCGCCATGATGACGAGGTGGTTAATCCACTCACTTCTGACTTCTCTCCCTTGGTACATCTCGCTCTCCAACCAAAGTCTGGATGAACTTGCACCCAATCAACCCAAATTTCCAAGTCCACTTAGCCATGACTATCATTACTTCTTCCATAACCCTGGCGGTCTGCGTAACAATGGTCTACGCCAAACCCGTCGAAAAACCCTTTGGCACCTCCTCTTCCTTTCCCTCCCCGCCAGGTCTCCTGTATCGCCAAGATAGTGCGTTACATCTCGCCAATCACTTTTCAACCAGTGACCAGCAGTCAGTCCAGATTGCAGGAATAGACTGGGACACAAGTAATACCGCCGACGACAGTTCATGGCAGAGATTCAAGGGTAAAGGAAATATGTTCTACTGCCTCATGGATATGTCTGATTCTGTGACTGGAGTTCAATGGCCAGACCCATTTAAGAGACTACCTCCCTCAGCAAGCAGTCCCTGGAAAGGAACTCTTGAAGGCAAGTTTCTAACTCTCACAATGCTTGACTTTCCTAACTCATACGCCTCAAGTATAACCATGTGCTAACACTCATTTCTCGACAGATGAACTGGCAACCTGGGGTTGGTTCGAAGGCGAATACAACCAGGATGTAAGCGCCAACTTCGGTGACAAAATTCCCGATGTTAAGAACATGATCGAAGTTGCACTCACAGCTTTGGGTCTAAGTACCACTCCCATGAAAGACGGCGGTAAAAACATCGGTATCTCCATCGAGCATAACGATGACCAACTGAAGTACGATGATGGGGAAGATGTTCCCATCGATGAGCAAAATTACGAAGTCGACGGGAAAACATACCCGGTGAGTAAAAGGGGGAAGCGAATTCACTAGTGCAAGGGATTCATTGCTGACGCTTTTTGACTCCAGAATACTGGTGCTTGGTTCCGATTTACTCTAAATCCGGAACAAGGCGGTGAGTCTCCTATTCTCCCTCCTACATGATACACTTTACCTGCATTGGTGTCGAAATACCGTTGTTGTCTGGTAGAAAAGATGCTAATTTACCTCTGTCCAGTGATATTCGGCCAAGATTTTCTCGGTCCCAAAGCCGCAGCAGAACAGAATCTAGACTGGGACGTCAAGAAAGAAGAGCTCCCCAAGCTAAGTATAGCATCCGACATCCTAGCTGCATATTGGTTACGCAGTCCAACTCCTAAAAACCTCAAATATTGGTTCGGCCAAGATGTCACGAATGAGGACACAGTGCCAATTATTATCAAGATCCTTTTAAATCATGGATACACTGAAGGCGTTCCAACTTGGCCGGGATTACAATTGAATATGCCGAGTGAAGAGGCGTTAGTACTTCTGGGCTCGCCCATCGGTTCAACCGTAGCCTTCTTCCTTATTCAACACAAGGAAGAACTTGGATTGAAACATGTCTCTTCCATCACCATCTTCCGTGATCTCAAGACCGAACCTGATCATAATGCGGAAGTGCAACTTCTGTTTCGTATCGACGACGTACCTCAAGATGACATATTGCCCGAAGATACGGAAATGCTGGATGAGGGTACAAAAGGAAAACATACACGACGCGGTATCAGGAGGAAAGATAGCATGGTAGATCTGGATTTGGGACGAAATATTAGCAGGGCGCATGAGATGAGCTTGGGCGAGCGCGGCGAGACGGTGCTGTACAGTCATGAGTTCAAACGGGAATTATGATCTGCTCGGCTTGGGGATTTCTTGTCGTTTGTTCTGATCAGAACCCAAGTGGATAGCTGGAAATCGTTGCATATACAAGAAGATGACCGGAAATAAATGTTAGACTACTACGAATACTAATGCAGTGATTGAGTCAGATATTATGGTTCATTTTCATATAACTAAACAAGCTACTGGGGTATCAATACTCAAGATCCCACTCATCCGTAAGAACGCCGCATCAGATGTGGGGGTATACTCCATAAACCACATCTATCCCAACAAACTCGTCGTGTATCGTACAAAGAGTCTACTGACTCAAATCGACGTCCATCCTTGTATAGTCTATTCAGGTGGTGACGTCCGAAACCCGAAAGGACTCCCCATCCGAAAAGCTGGATGGGTATCGCTTTCATCGGCCGGCACTGTTTCAATATTGCTTTCACCCAAAGTCTCCACTCCTTCCTGGAAACTCTGCATCTCGAAATTCTCGCCCTGCAACTCAGTTTCTCTAACAACAGGAGCAGGACGTGGTTTGCCCCCTAAGAACCTATTCTATACGGTACTAACGGCGGGCTTGGTATGTGTCGGCGCGGGTTGTGCGACTGGCGCTGTGCCGTCGAGACTTGTAGACGCGACACTAGCGCCATCTGTAGCCGCCTTCTCGTTGCGGGCGTGTGTTGACATCGGGCCGTGAGCGTCGATGTGGGCTAATGAGTGCCACAGAAGATATGTACTAGGATCGTAGGTCAGCAAGAGCGGTAAGATTGAATAGGAGATGTCGTACCTGACGAATGTGAAGATCATGCCAGGCCACAAGAATACAACACTAGCAATCGCGCGCCCGTTCTTGTTGTACGCAAGCGGAGTTTCTCCGGCCTTTTTGAACTGCGACAACAATGAACCACCAGTCGCAGGATCCGTACCAGTTATGTACGCACTCCTGCTGGCCACGATATATGTATACGCCAGGGCGTCGGCGAGCGCGGCCATGCAAGCAAAGACAGAGCAAACTTTCCAGGCGGTCTTGACGCCCTTCGACTCCTGTCGCTCGGGCCAGAAAAGATCGAAGAAGAAGGCAGCACCGAAGATGGTGGCAACGAAGATGCCAACGAAAATGTTGTACGAGGCGATACCGACAAAGTCATTGTTGTGAACCGTGACGTTACCGTCAAGTTTTGAGACGAACTTCTGCTGGTCGACATAATCTGGCCTGATGTTAGCTACTATCCCTGACGTGGAATGGTGGCACATATCGTTTGCAGCCACCAAGAGTAGGAGTATGCAAAAAGATGTATCATACCAGATAGCGCTGCTGTTCCCAAACTCTCACTGACAACGCAGAGAATCATCGCGAGTTGGTAGATGACGAACTTTGTGCGGCGGTTGTGGTACATTGTATTCCCAAACATGTACCCGGATTTGAACTTGCCCCATTGCATCTCCTTCAAGTCGAGACCCCATATTACCGCCATCTTGACTGGATATGAATGCTAGTGATGAGATGTGAGGTAGAGTTGTTCAACGAAGTGCGCGTGGTGGGACAGATAGAATGAAGAACGACAAGGGCGGGCGCGGAAGGTTGGGATAGTAGACGCGTTAAGAAACGGTCAACAAAAAGGGCCGTTGGGTTCTTCTCCGAAGGAAACTAGTCACCGCGCGGAAGTATCGAGCCTCCAGCTGAGGTTTCACGGCAGTTGCATACTTAAGGGTCCGCTTGCCAACCACCCTACGTCAACTGATATGGCGCGCATCCCATCCTCCCCATCACAGATCAAATTAAATCTTAACCCCGTCTCCAACCTTGTCCGGCCCACAAGGGAAACACGCACCCGCCAACTGTCGAGGCCCTAGTGTCAATCATACGCCATCATTGCTTCGCTGAAGCTTATCACTTCCACGCGCAGCCGTAGCCTAGCAAATGACCAAACGTCGTCGTACAAATGCAGTATTAATCAGCGTACCGGCTGGGTCCGGCGAAAAGACGAGGATGGGAAAGTTGAGAGGTGATTGGAAATGAACTGCAAGAAGGGTGGCTGTGATGTCATGGAACGGGATGCCGCGGGGCCTTGCTTAGCGAGAATGCTTAGTGCACGGGTGGGGCATTGGCGTCATTGCTTGCTTTTTTGCATGCGATGGCTCTGGTCACACGAATCCTAAATGTGTGAGGTCGGTAAATGTCTTTGCAACATGGAGGTCGTGTACGTCACAAAAAAGGACACTGCCCTAGCAGACTTGGTTTTAGGTGGGTTTTATTCCCTCCACACGGGGACGTGATATCTATCGCACATACTAAGACTAGCAACATTGCGCTGTCCGACGCGCTCTCCTACAATTTCAACACCTGCATGTAAGGGACTGTCGTCTACGATCTCGATTCCTTCTGCACAACCCTCAGTCGGCATCCACCCATATCGCATCCGACTGTCACGTGCTCCTCATGGAAAAGTGTCTATCTCCGATGACGATTTTACGAGTGTGGATAATGTTTTTGAGCTCGGCTTGCTCTCGAGGTAGCACAACGTCGCCGATACGACAGGCTTGTACTGAGATATCTATCTCTTATATGTCTTCGATCTTGTACAACATGTACACATACGTATCGTTATTATCGGGATCGTCGTTGTTATCGCGAAAGATCGTCACCGCTGTTATGTGTTTTATGCCGAGTTCAGCCTTGTGTTGTGCAAGCAAGAAAGCAAGCGTTCCGCCGCGAGGATTCCCTGTAGTCGATCAACACTGTCTGCGATGCTCGAAAATTCATCTGGATCCGCCTTGACGTACAGATCACCCTGTCTACTACATTGCTAAGCTCTTGGGTAATTTTTATTAGCTTACCTAGTAGTGCTAACCCGTCGCTGTCGTCGTCACCGAAGTTACAGTTCTCGATTTGATCCCAGTCGCTAGGATACCAACTTCATAGCTTGAGATCCGTTCCCAGCGTGTGATTAGGCTATAGAGCCAGTGCGGAAGGTGGATTTCGAGCATCTTGCTACAACCTGCCCGCGACTTCGTTGGCAGCATCAAGACGACACATGGGACTTTTCCCCCTAGTGATGGCATTCGCCCAGTCCGGATCACTACCAACATTTCCGGGTTCCGATGTCGCAGCTGTGTTTGTATCCATGAGCCTGGAGGTGTTATACTGGGCGAGTACGAGTGATGATAGTACGAGTAACAGTACAGGTATAAGACTCATGATGCGTGGTTGCGTAAAGCAATGGAGTTGAGAATAAACGTAGTCTACAAGCGTAGTGGTATACGAGAGTAGTAGAGTTCAAGTAAGGAAAAGTAAGTCGAAGTTGATCATGTCTAGAGAGTGCGGTTTGGGAATCTAGTCTCCAGGCGCAAGTGCAAGAAAGAAATCTGATGGTCAAGCGAAGCAGACATGAGGGTTTTTTTAATAGAAACAGTCTTTCGCACCTTGGATTTGCGTGGAATATCATGCATAGCATAGCTTGGAGTCAAGCTTCGAGGTGCACAATCCAAAACTTGCACCAAATCACCCGAAACGTTATTCTCGTCACTCATCATACCAAGCGTCGAGAAGCGATATCGAGATTCATATGAGCATCTAGTAGTGGTAATAGTATCTTGGAGTAACACACTGCTAAATCGTTGAAGAGGTTTTCCAACCCCTAGCTCGGTGGCATCACAGTTGCTAATATCTGCGTAGAGTGCAGAATAGCCGGGCTTTCTAATCTCAGAACGTTCGTGGTACGAATACCACCGCACAGTGTAGCCTTATCAACATCTACACAGTTGAACAGACGTAATTCATGTTGATATTGTAGGACATAAGACTAGACAAGAGAGAGAAGAGTGCCAGCTGACATGACTACGCAAGTGGGAAACGAAGCTCAACGATGATGTAAACACATAACATGAAGAGGGAGTAAGGACACGTGAATCGAAGGAACATTAGATAGATGGAGAGCAGATAATACATTGGTTGCGTCTTGGAGCTGGGCGACTCGAGGCTGGACTTCTTGAACCAGGGTGGTAGAAATGACCGGCGCTACCCTGAACATGGCACTGTGCCAGCGCACCACTGGTAACCAGGAGCGAGCTACAGGAGACGGGAGAGATAATACGACGAGAACGCATACACCCACCGGGCCGCCAACTCTATTCTTACGGCTGTCAGCAAGTTGACCCAACGAGCTTTCGTCACGTCTTTCCAGGATGTTCAAACTCAACATCGTAGAGGCCTGCTAGCCAAAGCTACGTGCCCCATGCGTCTTGTAAAACTTTCAGGGCCTGGCAGTTGACACAGACCCTAAAAATGGCGTGTATGGCAAAAGGAGTGGCTGTGGGTCACGGCGCTAAAGTGACAGCCTCATGTTTTGGTCGGTGGTCGATTGGTGGCAGGCGGTAGTTGAGCCTTTGACCCTGACAGCGGATCAAAGAGCCGGAACTTTATCATGTCCAGGTACGATTCGTGGTCTCCACATGCGATTCGAGTGCGTGTAGACGTGCACGCATGTGTCATGTAGGAAAGATGGAGGTCAGGACTGAAACTGGAGGGGGATGTTGGCGCCAACAGCTAGCGCGATCTGCCCAGTCGGCCCGGAATAGGAGGATGCCTGCTGTCGCCATCCCAACCTCCGTCACAACCCCGGTTCGCAACCTCCATCACAAAAGCAACTTGCTGAGGTTCCGCTTTGCGAAGCGACAGTGAACTCGTGTCTACAATGATTGACGTTCAGTCAATTCTGCTTTGATGGCTTCCACGTCCACCCCACACTCCTTCAATTTCTCCTCAAGAATCCCTCGCACCTTTGCTGCCGTCACTGTACTGTTTAGCAGATCATCCATGATTTGAGCCTCCTCGTTAGTCAGGGCCACACGGACTTCTCGTGACCGCTCGAACTCCTCCTCGATACTCCGGAACAAGGCACCAACATGCTCTTCCAAGAGATCTTTGACACGTTGCTTTTCCGAAACAATAGCTTCTCCCAAACGTGTGTAGACAGCGTTGAAAGGATTGGTGTTCGCGTCGCAAAGTAGCTGCTCAAACATTTCCATTTGTGCGAGCTTCACTGTCTGTCCTGGTGTTGGTCTGGTCCGATAACTCTTATCGTAGACTTTGCTCATGTCATTCCGAAAGTATGACCTTTCGAATATGTCCGTACAGCAGCGGTCGTTCTGTTCTTGCATAAAAGCTGTAATGCCGTTGGTAAAAACATTCTCCATATCCCGAAGTGCGATAGGCTTATGGGTGATCCGTCGGATGGATGTGTCTAGCTCAACAGTGATCGGTTCCGGGCATTGAGCACGAAGGTTGAGTTCTAGAAGCTTCATTGCTGATGAAATTTCTCGTTCCACCTGGTCGATACCGTTTTGCAATTTGTTAATCGTAGCGTCGAAGATCGGTTCAAGACCCTTCTTTATCGGCGCGAGCATCTGTGTATTCCAAGAGCGGACGTTAGATCTGGGCAACTTGTAGTTTCCCTCATTTCGCATGTAAGTTCTGTGCCTATTGTGATGAAACCCGCTGAGCGATTCGCGACACAACTTTCTCGCCACGTCAACGCACGCAGGCAAGACAGTTTCTGGTGTCCCTAGTAGCTGTCCCGCGATACGATCCTCGAATATTTTGTCGATGCAACGATGAATGTTGGCAAGACATGAATCGCGTAGTGCACCAATCCCACCCTCAATTGTTGTTTCGACTGCAGTGATACGCTCATCATACCTCGTTTCTACGTTGTGTATGAGATTTCGTAACGTGAACGCTACATGTCGAACAAGTTCCTTAGTCCGAATCGGCGCACAGAGCGAAACAATATATTTCTCCAGTGCAAATATTTGTGACCGTTCCGGAGTGAGTGGGAACGAGGCGAAGCCATCAAACGCGTATCCACTGACGTTGCGCTGATGATCGTGTGTGGAGACGCAGAACACATCTTTAGGTGAGATCGTCCGTGACAAGATCTTATTCGAGTTTTGTTGGTTACGTTAGTCAACAAAGATTGTGCCTTGAGAGATTGAACGAGACGTTTCTTTAGCTGTATTAACGGTCTGTGCCCAGAGGTCGCTGCATAGCACAGGAGTTCGCTTTCACACTGTTTAAGTTGCGCATTAAGCCGTCGGACTTCTTCAGTTTGCTCAAGCTCGTTCTTGTCGACGCTAGAAGGATCTTCGACCTCCGAACACGTAGCCACTACGGCCACAGGACAGCCACACCTTGCCCTGATCATCTTTTGAAGGCTACGAGTAGACAAGATGCAGTCAATTTTACGAGCGATGATCACGATTGTGTATCGCGGTAGATGACTCAGTACACTGCTCTCAGCAAGGAGGTTGATATCGTCCAGACCTGGAGTATCGGCTAGGATGATATTCCTCTCGAGAACAGCAAACGGACCGCCGACCGATACAAGTTCAACAAAGGGCCAGGCATCGTAAGCGTTTGTAGTACGGCCAGCTGGATGACCGTTGGTGAAGCGCATAATGTGCGACCAAAGTTCATTTGCCGTTTGAGCATGTATGGAGGATTGACGTTCGATACGTCGTTATACTTCTGACGGGCCAGAGAAAGGAGTGAGTCTCGAATATCACCCCGTGAAGGTGGCTGCGAGCTCGTTGACATGTATTGCGTCGTAGCGTCCTTGTCTGCGAAATGATCAGATCCTCGGAAGAGTGCCTCGAAGACGGCGATGCCAGAGTCTAATTTGGACTGCTTGCAATCTGCGTCTTCATCATCTTGCTCGTCTTCTGGTGGAAATAGCCCGTTATTGAGATCCTGGAAGCAAAGCTCGAGCCGCTTCTGCACGTCCTCCCAGGACAAGAATGAGATTGTGGCTAGATACCGGAACTTTGAGGGCTCTCCAGCCCAGTACGGATATTCTATTATACATGGTATGTAGTGCTGTGGGAATGAATGCAGCGAGATCTAGCTCTATTCATCCTTCTCCAGCCTCTACGGGAAGTGACTGGACATGCGTGCCAATATGTCTTGCATAAGCGAGTGCAACGTTTTGCAGGAGATCATTTCATTGAGAATTTCGCAAGGGGAGACTGATGCTTCTATTCCTCATTGATGCAAGGAGAGTAGATGCATAACCTTTGATATCACTGATATTGTCATAGTGTGAAACCAATGTAACAGTAGAGCCGTGTAACCTTGCTGGAAGGATGCATGTCGCTAACAGCTCATAATCACTGGCTGTTGCTATTCCACACAGTGGGGAATGAGAAATCACGTTTCAGAGGTCTCTATACTGCTGAGCGGGTAAGCCGCAAATGCCACTTGGTTGTTCCCCATGTACTTGCAAAATCCACTATACATGATGCATGAAACTTTCGCAAATCTCTCATCCGTACGGTCGTCCGGAATAAGATCCGGGACCAAGCCAACGGGAACCTTGGACTTGGCATCTACCAGATAGAGATTTTTACCAAAAGCTTTCTGGTCTGAAGAAGGGAGATGTTGACCAACACATAACAGGGAACCAGGTTGTTGCCTCTGGCGCTTCGGCTGACGTGCGTGTTTTGCTAGGAGCCCGGCTGAAAGAAGGAATTTACCGTGATGAATGTACACAGGGACAAAGAGCTTGTTGACCCATGCTGCGGCTGATAACGGAACGCGACAATTGACCATGGCAGCAAGAAGAAACACAGTTCGTAGTAAAGGCTTTGACCACAAACCTTGCATCTGTCGCTTGAAACTGGCCCAATCACCCTTCTGCGCAGCGTCGATGTGGTGCGGATCGTGTGCGCACCACATGTTGTCTAATATCTTCCTCGCTTGCACAAACAATGAGGCAACATTGTCGGTCTCATCAGTACGTGCCTCTTGCTCAGTCTCGTCGAGACTGCGAAGGCCTGGTACAAGATCGTCTTCCTCGTATTCTAGGCCAGGACCGATCCTAATCAGAGTTTGATCGTTGTACTCAGACACTCGAATTGCATGCTCTGGGTCAGTAGGTAACCATCCACAACGTATAGCGTCTAGGTGGTCAAGGGTCCAGTGGACGCTTGGATAGCTTCCATATTTGGAAAGCTCACCGCCCCGATGAGACTCTTCCCATTGTTCTTGGAAGTTTTTGAGAGAGGCCTCCAGCAAAGCAATAACGAAGTCTGGGGAATCGTCGCACTCAAATTCCTCAATGTGCACAACCGATGTGACATGCACATGCTGTGAAGAGGCGTTCGAATTTTCCGGTACGCGTTGTCCGACAAGTTTCAGGAAGTCACCAAGCGTCGTGGGACTGGGAAGATGTTGACTTGGTAGCCAGCCAATAACGGGATCTGTACATGTAGCGTCGATTATTGAACGTGTGAACCTGCACGTAAAAGCATGCCCTGAGCGTGCAGCTTGCTGGTAAAGATCCAAATAGATATCCCCAAAGGACATTGTTAGAGCCTCTTTGCTCGGGTACGTGTACCACGGAAATGAAGGCATTGTCGCGAAGATGTAGTCACGGGGCATGGTGGCGGATCTATGAGATGCCCGATTGACCTTTAGAAAAGAACCGGTGTGGATGTCTTCTTCCTGAGTTCGCTGTGCGCCACGAGGGTTGATGACGGTGCCGCCATGAACGTACGCCTTGAAGAAATCATTCATGGCTGGAATGCCCTGAGAGCCGGAGAACGAATAAGCTAGGACCCAGAGAGCATCCGCGAGAATCGTTCGTTCCGCCCGATGTCGGTATACGCTGACGTCGTCTGTAGTCTGAGCCCGCACTGCCGGCGTCTTTGGCTGATCTGAGTACTAGTCAATCACGAATATCAACCTTGGAAGCCAAAAACCGTGACATACTGTTTGTTCCAACTACAAATTCTATGGTATGGGAGAGTAGGCACTCTTGCAGCGTCCACAGTCTTTGTAGATAAGACTCTGCGCAGATGTAGTCAAAGTGCTCATCATCGTGAGCATGGAACTTTTTGACGAACTCGGTCACACTCTCGAAACCGTTGACAGCAGCAATGCAGCAGTCGTACAGCCCGTCACATTCTCTGACTGCAATAGTTTTCTTAGCCATTCTGAAGATCGTAGGGATCTTGTCCACGATTTCGGAGACTTCAGCTGGATTTCGCTGATTGACAGTTAACGTATCCATCCAAAAGGCGCCGTCTCCAACCAAAGCCGGTAGGTCATTTGCGATGAAATGAGCTTTCTCTTCCGATGCTTTGATCTCGTACGGTATACCATCAGTCGAACGCCAGGCCCAGTTACCCCAGACATGAGAGAAAGCGATGTAATCTGTGGATTCGATGGGCGCCTCGAAGAGCTCTAAAGTAGCGTTCTTGAAGCGTGCGAATTTAATGGAAGAAGCCATGATACAGGTCTAGTACCAAGTACGAAAAGTGGAAGCGCAAATTATCGAACAGAACTTTGGGGGCGCCGAGGTTTTAATCTGTGGTGCCAGGCAACAAGGCTGAGCTGGTCGCTTCAGCCCCCTCCCCCCGTGTTTGCGGCTGAACTTTACGCGAGCGCCTAGCTTTCGTCGCCCAATATCAAGAACAACACGGAAAGTCACAGCGGTACTCGTGCTTGTGTTCCCGACGATCCTGGTCAGTCGCAGCTCGTGCAGCCATATGTTCACGACATAATTTCGTTGTCTGAAGCCAACAGGGATGATCTTCCAGTACTTCCATCACAACCTTCCTTTCGTGTTTACCAAACGTAGATTTATGCATAGCTGCTTTGATAGCACGTCCCTTGAGTTAAGTCGCAATGGGTAGGCTGTGTCGTCCACAGTCTGCGACACTGGCGGCAAGTGCTACTTCATCATCGATGATGTCCTGTTGTTGTGGTAAGACCATGTAATCAGGATGGACTTCGACGATAATGTTCCAGATACGACTAACGAAGCAAAAACGGTATATTTCACGCGAAGCTGGAGGCTAGAAGGCAGTAGGTTGCGGACTACTCGGTGTAGGATCCTCGTAAATGGACTGAGCAGAGAGGTCTGAATACAACTCATACAAATGTGGACCTGGTAGTGTTCCCTGGAATAACTGACTCAGCACGGAGACTTAACTGAACACAGGTTGTGGAAGCCCTCTACTCGGGCTTAGCCCAAATGAAGATGATGAAGCCTTGATCCATCAGCCGGTGCGCATTCTCAAGACAAGGGCATATTAGTCGCCACATCTCCATCACACAGAGAAACGCAAAATGAGTCTCTGGCATCTCGCGCAGTGTCCTTCCCTTATGATTCCTGGAAGGAAGTACGCATAGAGGTGCCTTAGGCAAGTACTGGGTTGCGGTGGGTTGCGGCGGATGTATGTATTGAGACCGCGGAAGAAGCGCTGGCGACGGCGAAGTTTGGAAGGACGAATGAGGAGAGTACGGGTCTATATCTGGGTTACCGAGTTAGCATAAGACTCACATACAGTTTCTGTAGGGACGCTTACGATACTGCGCAGCTTGCAGTTGCGGTTGCGACGACTTTGGCGTCTTCGATGGCATAGCTTGCGACTGCGACAACACCATCGCCTCCGTCTCATCCTACCAAGCCTTTAACACATCCTTCTAACCTACCGGCCTATCTGGATGACCACTCTTGATCAGCCAGTCGAAGAAGTTCACAGGCATTTCATGGACCGTCTTGCCATGGTGCTCCCCCAACCTTGTGCCATATGGTTCTGACGACGATGACAAGGGTTCAGAAAAGTCTTGTGCCGCTTGAGTATTCTATTGAAAACTTGAAGCGCTTGCATTGGCGGTTTCGAACACGATGACGAATTTGCAGCGATGTTCGCGTTGAGCAATTGGAGAGCTGGTTGGGCAGCGGCAGCAGCAGACGACGGCGGCCGTGTAAACGCATCTCGCTGCTAAGACGAGCTGTATTTACTAAAGCATGTTCACATGGAATCTCTCATTCCATGGCGGGGGCGCAGCAGGAGATCGACTCCTCTCTTTCAGAGCAGGTCGCGGTGTCGCAGATGCATCTGGCACTTGGTTGGAAGACAGGGGAGCTTGTTGCGGGAACGTAACTGATCTACGACATTATCAACATCAAAACGGAGGTCCGATCCGTAATCGGACAGCATTGTACGCATGCAGCAACTGCATTTCGGAAGATTGACTCGCACGGATGAGTGGATGAAATGTATGGAGATAAAGGAGAGATGACGTGTGGTGCATCTTGCAGCGAACATGTGGAGATGGCTGGGACTGGTGCTGGTGCGGAAAGTGCACAGACACACACTCTTCAATTAGATGTGGCGCATTCCCGAGGTTTAGCACGCCAGGTCAGGTACGATTTTCAGGAACAGAAAAAGAAAGAGTACTTCAACTTGCCCTGATCAAAATGAATATTGTTGAATTGTCAAAGTTCCTGAGGTCCCGTAAACACCCGAAGACGCCCAGCGCCATTCCCTTCCCTTCCCATTCTCAATACCTCCGCCCACTTAGTCCCCTTAGGGAACCGGTACCTTTTCCGTCTTGCTGATTATGTACCAAGCGTGGATAACACCAGGGATCCAACCAAGAATACACAATGCGATGTTGATGAAGAGATCAGCGGTGCAACCGCGCTTTATCGCGACAGGTAGGAAGGGAATCCATATCGCGAGGAAGTAGAGGAGGATAGTGCTCTGGCGTGGAAGTTAGGAAAAAAGACTAGAGATGTTAAAGAAGATGTGACTGACTGTGCTTGATGCCATTGTGCGCGCAGTGATGGGATCCGTATTGGTAAACTAGGCTGTAGTGATTTTGCAAAGAACAAGTCTGGTTGGTAGTGGTGAAGTTCGAGGTTGTGGCTGTTGAGTGTGGCTGAACCAGAAAAAGTGGATGGGGCTCTCCGCGCTTTATGTGCTCCCTTCCAAGATCACTTTGCAGTAGCTGACGACGCCAGAAACCAGATGAATGGCTCACGCTATGTTCCCGGTACGTTCATTCGACGAGAATCGCCGTAGTAGCCGCGAACCGAAGACCCCATCACCAAAGGGAGGATAATGCACGTGGGAAATTGCTAAGAACAGCAGCAAATGGAAACGCCTTGCGCCACAGTGACGATGTTTGTTGTGGCGCAGGTATCAGTGTACAGGCCGTGCGCCGTGGTGTTGAGGCTGTACTAGCCGACGAGGTCCCGAGAGGTGCCGTGATAGCCGGGTATGCAGGGCAGCCGATGGCTGCTTGAACTGTGATGTCGCGTCATCAAAAAGTCTAGTATCTCATACTATAGCGCTGATGGTAAGGTTTGATCTCACAGAGTACCTCGACTTTACATGAGATGAGTCTGCTAATCAGGCGACTTTTGATATTACTACTATGTCTACAAATTTGATTTTGTTACAACGCGAGCTTCCGCGGTCCAGCTAGACTAAGGGACTGACTTGTCGAATACCGTGATTCATGCGCCTACTTTCGGCTTCATTGATGCCAAATTACAGCGACAACAGCATAGGTTCATAGCGTGAGAGCGGAAGTGGGACTGCAGACGACTACTTTGTCACAAGGTCGTTCTACATGCGCACTTGCAGAGGCGCAGTGACTAGGAATAGATGACTTGATTCCAGAGAGCAGTCATCACAATCAAGTCCGTGGCGGGACCATGGCGGTAAGACTGAGACGAGGTGTCGGTAAAGTGGAACTTGTCAAGGGCGGCATGGGCGGTAAGGAGGGTTGTACTGTGTACGTTGCCGAAGCATAAGATTGGCCTTGCGGTGAGTGTAAGGCAGCAACTGTCAAGTTGTCAGACGGCGAGATAGAAACCAAGGGCGGGATGACGTATAAGACAGACGGAGGCTGACAGGGGTTGACGGTGAGGCTCTGTTATGACTGACAAGGATGAACGCTGGCGGATGGACGACTCGAAACTAGAAATACATGATGAGCGGTGAGGAGCGGTGACAAATTTTACATGCAATTGAACAATCGAGCAGGGATATATCGGCTTCGAATTGATCTATTCTGATCGACAGCCACGCCTTACAAGCCAAGGTCGCCGGGGAAATTTTGAACTATCCTAGGTGCTGCGACAAAGTCGGTGTTGAGGTGGAAGGGGTCTTTGGTGAAGGGGAGAAACTAATGGGGTGAGCGGGATGGGGGTGTGTGTGGAACGCTAAAAATGCTGATACTGGCAAAGAACATCGTGTGAAGACGAATCGAAGGAGATGGGCTATATAGTAATAACATAAGACATTCGGCATCATACGTGTCGCATTATCATGAGAAGGGCAGAGACAAACTGTTGAAAAGTGGAAAAAAGAAACCAAAAATCATAACAGAATAACAAACTAGCGTCCCTACGACTGGGGTAGCGCTTTACCGTCTTTCACCATCCGCTTCCGAAAGGCCTTGGCCCTACTCGCTTCGTTTTTACTCGCTTGTGCATCCAGATGGCTGGCGGCAGTGAATGCTTCTACTACTGCCATGGCGCTTGCCTCTTCTTCTTCGTTGAATGTGATGAGATCGAGGAATTGGCGTAGGACAATGGACCCGAGTTTGGCCTTTGCTTGTTCAACGTAGTCGGTGTTGACCGTCTCGGCAGATGTCCGCGCAAGCACGCTCCATCCATCGGGCTTGAGTGATGCTTGTCGTGCTAGCAATCGCTCGCTGGAGGCTAGGAGGATGAATGCCCTTATTACCGCTTCTTTGTTGGTGATGTTTTGCTCGGGTGACACGTCGAGAACCTCTAAGAAGTCGTCCAGGGATGCTGTGCCGATGAATGTGTGGCGGTGCTTGTACTCCAAATCACGCTCTTGCTGGATGGCCGATGTCGGTCCGCTCTTCTTTGGTAACTTCTTGGGTGTTGATGGATGGAGGGAGCGGGTGGTCGGGCTGTGATGGCGAGGGTTCTCGTTCTGTGCGGTGGCGGCTTTAATGGGAAGGCCGAGGGAGATTCTGCGTTGGTGGGTGTTGGCGGGGCGCTGCGGCTTTGATGTATTGGCTTGTAGTTGCAGAAGACCGTCGTTGGTCTTGGCGCGGAGCGGAAGTGTTCGCGATGCCCTTTGCGCACTGGCGAGTCTTGATTCGATGGTTGGTGTTGAGGGTGTGCGCAGGTGAGAGGGGCGGTGCTTTGTGATGACGGTTTCTTCGCCCTCGCTCTTGATGGATGGCGACTTGGCGAGGTCATCGTAGGAGAAGTAGTCGGGTGACGGACCGTCTTCCTTTATTCGATCCAGCGAGTAAAGGAGGGGTTCTTCGAAGAGGGTTGCGTCTGTGGACAGGCCGAGGGCGTCGGCAGGGTCAATGGCTCGTGTGCGCGGGCTGGCGCGGGGACTGGCAAACTTGAGGCCGTTGACATCCGGCGGCATGACCCAATGCTGGACGCCCTGCTGCTGGCGCATCTCTTGCTTGAGCTTGCCCTCGAGGGCGCTCTCGGTGTCGCTGGCAATTGAGAAGCGGCGGGAAGGTGATCGTGATGGCGAGCCTGGGTGCTCTTTGGTGTCGTACCCCGCATTCCTGAGGGCGTTGAGTATGGAGCTATCCCCACGGTCGAGGTAGAGTAGGCCTGTTCTCCACATGGTCGGATGTCTTCGATGAGGGTTCCTGCTGTGTACGAGTAGCCGACGCAACAGTCACCCTCTAAAGTCTTGTCGGACACGGACAGGGAGGCGCGATGTGCCGCTGCTCTAGCTTTAGTACTTGTTGACAGTATGCGGGTGATCGAGGTGGCCGGCGCTAGCACCCGCTACACCGCCATTTTTCTCAATCTGGTCGTCCCGGTTGAAAAGTCTGTCATTGCCGTGCCTCTTGACTAGACTGGGCCTAATGTATGCATCACGATGCAACACGTCTTTTTTCACGTCATATCGCCCAATCACCATTGTACCATGGTGACAATTGTGGGTGGTGATTTGCTGTAAACTCCCAAACATTCCTACACCCTGTACCTGCATCCGATCAGCAGGTTTGAGTGTAGCGTACGTACCCCCCTCGTGTCCCGTATCATCCCGGCAGCGGACGAAAGCAGCTACCATCTTGTCTTGCACGCCTGGCGTGATCGAGAAGCATTTTTGGCCGGCATGACGTGGAAGTGGATTCCCGCGGGTTAAGACAGCGAGGGCTCCACTCCCGCAAGGCTGAAGGTCTCCAGAGCGTGGTGTGGTGGTGACAGCCGCGGGTGGCATGCACTGAGATGGGGTTGTGCCAGCGCAATGGCTATTGTCGGCCGTCGGAGTGTGTTCGGACGTGTTGGGTTCAACAAAGATGGCGGGGCGGGGTAACCGCGCGACACTAACAGCCATGTTTGATCAACATTTTGTTGTTTCAAGGCGGATATCGGAGCGGAGGAGATAAGCTTGGCGTGGGACGTCAGGGACGTGGAAGACGAGCGAAGTCAGCAGAAGGGTGGTTGGGTCACGCGTGCAGTCAGTCAGCGATGAGGGTGTAGTCGTCAGGCGTGTGATATGCCCAGGTGTGATGTGAAGATATCAACCAACCCACGCACACATGCACATATCGATAGCACATGGGCAGCGCATCCGACCTGCGGAACCAGACTTTGCAGCGTACCGTATGGTAGTCTCTCCCAAGATCTGTTGGTGGTGACCTGTTGATGTGGAGTCCAATCAAGATTGGCGGGCCTCGCGCGATAAGACGACGCAACACCACAGCAAGAACCCACACCAGACTGTTCTCTGCCCCTGCCTAGTGTTCCTAACAATAAATAAACTTGGTCTCACAAGACTCGACCCCGCAGTGACACAGTATCGGTTCGCTCGCATCTGGCCAGCAGTTCGACACCCTGGCATTTCCAGAGATGAGGGTGCTGACAGCTGGAGCTCTGCCTGCACTCTGCACTGCACGCTGCACCAGCGATCAAAACACACGTCCATGCCCACTCGCCAATGCAAGAACAACCCACTCTGCAATACCGAAAACCCACTCTCGTCGACGTCCTCGAATCGCATGCTGACGCGTGCCATGCGTGGAGCTCACTTGGCCCTACGTGGAATCACGTTTGGTGACAGATTCACCGCTCGGCCGTGCTAGAGACGAAAAGAGGAGCCGAGTCTGTTTTGGCACGCGTGACGTGTTGTTTGGGCGCGTCGAATGGGCAACAGCTTCACTTTCTTTTCCACCTCGTCGCAGCCACAACAACACATAAGCATCAGTGGTCGCAGGTAAAGACATCTGGAGGGCATCTGGGTCAACTGGCTTCGATTGCATCGTCGTTCCCCTGGCTTGGGAGGGCGTTGGTGGCAGCGTGGTAGCCATGCAGCATCAACGGCCCGCACCCGCTAGCGAGCCATGTTCTCTTGGCGTAAACAAACCCGGACCGCCGAGGAGCCACCTCCGCAGCAGAATTATTATGAGGTTGTTGGCGTCCTAGATACTTTGCAACCGTGTTCACAAACTCAATTGCCCTTTGCACAAAGCAAAAATTGATCAGCATCTTACCCCACCTACACCGCCCCGCTGCAGTTCGCTTCCATCTCGAGTCAGTGGAGCTGATGTTTTCTTGCACTGCCTCGCCCTTTACGACCGCCCAAGACTGCCGCCGGTAGTAATTTCAACCTCACAATCTCCCCAAGCAGCGATTCCCATAGCACCCACTCTCGTCGCCCTCGTGGGCATACGCAACCATGGACGACGGTCCTCCTCCTCCGCCGCCTCCGCATGGCGCCAATCCAAAGACCACAGAAGGTAGCCATGCACCTCCTCCCGGCCCAAGCGGCGGCCTGCCACCAGGCAACTATGACATCTTCATCATACC